TGGAGAAGAGGAGGCTGAGGGGAGACCTTATCGTTCTCTACAACTACCTGAAAGGAGGTTGTAGCGAGGTGGGTATTGGGCTCTTCTCCCAAGTAGTTAGCGATAGGACGAGAGGAAATGGGCTCAAGTTGCATCAGGGGGGGTTTAGATTGGATATTAGGAAGAATTTCTCCACGGAAAGGGTGGTCAGGCACTGGAACAGGCTGCCCAGAGAGGTGGTGGAGTCACCATCCCTGGAAGTGTTCAAAAAATGGGTAGATGTGGGACTTGGGGACATGGTTTAGTGGGCATGGTGGTGTTGGGTTGATGGTTGGACTGATGATCTTAGAGGTCCTTTCCAATCTTAATGATTCCTAGTTTTTACTGTCATTATAAATAATCCAGCCACCAAGCCAGGAAACATGAAATTGCTACTCCACCCTTAACTGGTTTAGTGGTGGACTTGGTAATGTTAGGTTAATGGTTGGACTGGATGATCTTAAAGGTCTTTTCCAACCTAAACGATTCTATGATTCTATGATTCTGTATTTTTTAGAAAAAGCAAAGCATACAGACTTCTTTTGTTCTTTTTGAAGGAAAGTTGCTATTGCATTTGGTTTTTAAAATAAACAGTAATGTCTTTGATCATTGGCCTCACCCCTAGTAACCTGCCTTTTTCACAGTTGGCAATAAATTGCCTACCATAACCTGAGTTCCTGGCAAAAAGCTGTGTGGAGAGTATTCCCCCTGCTGCCCAAGGGATTGACTGTTGTGCCACAAATAAAAAATACCTGCATTTAAATCCAAGATTAAAACCAGAGTTAGTCCTTAGTAAGTTCTTACCATAACATTTTTATTGGGGTGGTGGTTCAGTCACACTCAGAAACATATATGGCTTAATAGGTTACTGCCTTTTAGGAAGTGCATGATTTTAAAATTATGTCATTGACTCCAGTTCATAAAAATGAACTATTATATTTCTGTCTCAGGTGCACAAAGTATCGTCTCAAAGAAAACACCAGATGCAAATATACTATGATAATATAATCATATTGTTTTAAAGAAAATCCTTCTTTCAGGCACTGTTCAGACATAAGAAAGGGAAGAAGCAATGACCTCTGAAATTATTTTTACAAGAAGCTAGCTTCTGCTTTGGCCACAATGTTGTATCGGTGTGCACTGATTATTAAAGATTTAATTTAGAAAGACAGAAAACACCTGTTTTATTGGTGCCCTGATATCCTGCCTGACTTTGTTTCCCTATTGGCTTCATTGCTGCCTATGAATAGAACAGCTTTCTTCAATTTAAAAAAAAAAAAAAAAAAAGAGAGTGCCGGAAATTAAAAAAAGACAAATTGCTTTAAAGTTTAAGTTCCTTTTGAAACTGAGGCTTAGGCATATGGGAAAATGCCACACTACTATTTTCATTCAGTGAGTTGCTCTGGAAGCCAGACGTGTACAGATCTGTGTAGTGTGCGGGAGAGAGGGACAGAGGGAGTGCAGGAAGGACAGCTTGTGGCTCTCAGGGAAGACTGAACAGACAGATCTAACTTTGCATCTTCTCTGACAAGAAGCAATCACAGGAAAAGATTTTTTAAAGATCTTGAGAATTAGGATGCATCTTTTTCACCAGGTCATGAGGAGTGATAGGCATTTAAGATGCAGTGTAAAAATCCAGGGGTTTTAGAAGGATTCTTATTCTTCTTGTTTGCATTGCTTTTGCTGAAATTCTGTGGATAAAATGACTAGATGATATATGATAATATTCAGTTACTCCGAGTGGTTTAATATGTGTTGTCCCACGCAGTAGCAATGCATATAGATGTTGCCTTCCCTTGATTCAATGAAAAACAAAAAAACAAATAAGCAAGTATGCCATTTTGTGTAACTCAGTACTCCTCCAAAATTTCAGAATCCATTTCTCATATATTAAAAATGCTTTTAGGAAGTCACATTCATTAATGTGTTGTATTGAAAACTGCCTTTCAATTGCATGCTTTATGTACAATATGACTAATTTTAAATTACTGTAGTTCTGGAGGTATATTAACCTTGCCTATATATACCATTATACAGTTTGTTTTCCTGTGTTGTCATTACTGGGTTTCATTTCTCAGTTTCAGTTCAATTTTCTTTGCTCACCAGTAAGGAAATAACTGATAGATTTAAGTGAATAACAAGTGTTGGTTCATTTGCAAATTTATCTATAAACTCATCCACTTGTGGTAGTAAATAGGTAAATAAATGGTTTAGCTTTGTCATAGCATCATAGGACGGTTTGGGTTGGAAGGGACAGATTGGAAGGTTGGAAGATCATCTAGTGAGCACGGATGGGAGAGTCTTAGACTCTCCTATGGAATTGGGTATTGTAATGCAAACATTGAAAATCAGTGCTATCCACTATAGGCTTGGAACCAAATGTCATCCCACCACAAGAAATAACACATGGGTATCATCTCCTGCAGATAATTTCCAGTAGCCAGACTTAGCAGTTTGGGAGAAAAAAAAAGTAGAAAAAAAAATGTATCTTTCTTCATAAAGACATGTTATCTGAATCATCCTGGAGTAGAGTAACAATATCTGTGCAATAAAATCTGCTTCTGATGGTGGCTGATTCAGAGCTGTTACCTTTTCCACAGCTGTAATTATAGTGCTGTCTCAGCTAGTGTTTAGTCCACAGCATATCAAGATTACTTTCATGAAAGTGTAGGTACCTTCCCTCCCTCTCCTGCTTCAGCCTGTTTCCTTTTTATATTTTGGGTTTTTTTGTTTTGTTTTGTTTTGTTTAAATCTAGGGTAAGTTTGAGTTGTTTAAACAGGTTCATAACATCTTCTGCACAGGGAAAGTCTGTTGTCCCCGCTGTCTGAAGACTTCAGGTGAAGTTCAGACTCTGGAAATCCTACTGTCAGTGCTATAGGTTTGATGAGTAACAGGTTGGTCTCATTTTATGGTCACTCTTAAATTAAGTAGTAATCTTGGATTCATTGGATGAGTTATATCTGAGGCTTTTGAGTTAAGATGTCCCCTTTTTCCTAAAGAAAACACACGAAAGTGTCTGTTTGGATCCAACCTGCTTTCAATAAACAAAATAATGAAGGTTTCTGGGCCTTTCCTAAACTAGTATTATTGCTTTTAATTAACCCTTTACTTTTGTTTTGACTGTGGAATCCAGAACCATGCAAAAAATAATTTGTTTTAATTATACCTTCATAGTAAATGATAGTCTGAATATTAATAGAGATCTCCCATCCTTTCTGCTCTAATCTGAGGCAAGTTGCAATTCTGGTTTAGATTAGCATAAATTAAATGCATTTTATGACTACAGATCCCAGCTTTGTATAGCATAGATGTAAGCAGTCAAGGAATATTGTGACAGTGACTAACATCCTGCTGCTCGGTAGCCTCCGTTTGCCATGAAGCACTGTTTGGTATGTATGATTGTATTGCTACTCAAGGTTAAAACAGCAGTCTTTGAAATCTCTGCCTCTGACTTTGCTTTAGATGAGAACATGTATAGAGCCCATATTTTGGCAGTCACTGTGACAGGGATAGTACAAAGATGTTACTGACATTACACATGATGAAATACACTATAGCTTTTCTGGTATACTATAGTAGAGAAGCAAGCCTTTCTCCTTATTTTTTTTTCTTTTTTTCTTTCTTCTAAATTAATATCTAATCCCACTTGGAAAAAGCATTGCTTTCTGTGCAGCCTGCTGAGCATCATTTTATAATGAGGTTTCATCACAGCGGGTATTACTATAATAGGCTATAAGGCCCTTCCCCTATTTCCCGACACAACACTTAAGAGTTACTGGCCTATATTTTCTGAAGTGTCTGGGGACTGTGAATAGCCTCAGTTTTAGGGTGTCCTGTCTGAGGACCCTTGAGTAGACTTGATTTTTTGGAAGGTCAATTCTTTTGGCTTGTCTAATAGGGATCTTCCCATTAAAGTTGCTAAGAAATTAAGAAATCAAAAATCAATGTCTTTTTTTCTCTCCCCCTGCCCCTTTAATTTAGTTTTTATTCCCCATGTTCCTACTGATAAGAACACCCCTTTTGTTGATAGGTTCTCTTCTCTCTGTTCCTTCAATGGAAGATCCTTTCTCATCTGATTAGCAGGAAGTATCTTAGGTCAAGTAGTGGATTTGGGTGTAGGAATTTGGGACTCAAATCCTAAAGACAGTATGTGTGTAAATCAGGTAAAGCAATCTATGCCTGTCTGAGCATCCCGTCTGTAAAACAGTGGTAGTGCTGCTTAGCTACAGAAGGATGTTATGGGAATGAATTAATTCAGTGTATCTGAAGATCTAAGTCACTATGGGCATCCGTGAAGTATGGTCCTTCAAATGCTAGAAAGTTTTTTAGCATTTCCTTCCCAGCATAAACAGAAACTCATTTCTCTCTGCTTGATTTGTTTTCCATCTGCTTGTAGGGCACAGTAGAGGGGTTGTTGATGAGAGTAGTCTGGGGTGGTTGGTGGAGGAGATAAGGAGAGAACTAGACTGGATGCTGCTCAGTTTTATTTTATTACCTAAAACTGTGAGCACTTGTCACCAACAGCACATGTCCATAGCAGATGCCTGCACACACACATGGCCTTTTTTTGGCCCTGGTTCTCCAGTTGCATATTGGAGAGAGATGCATCAGGTATGCAGTCTCTGTTTTTGAATATTCAGGATGAGTTTTTAATAATGTTTTAGAAAAAGCTCCCTTTAAGACTTTTAGAAGTGTGGTAGCACTTGTTAATCGATATTTTATATTGATATTCCAGGTGGGTAAATTGAGAGAGAAAATCCAAGAGGTTAAGCAAGAAAGGGAGCAGGAGCAGCACAAGCACACAGCCTATGTTTCTGAACTGAAAGCCAAGCTTCATGAGGAGAAAATGAAGGAACTTCAGAGTGTCAGAGAGCTACTGATCCGGCAGCACGAGCAGGAGGTAGCGAGAATGGTGAAAATCAAAGATGGTGAAATTCAGCGTTTGCAGTCAACAGTCAACGTCCTGCGGGACGGGGCAGCTGACAAAGTGAAGACAGCGCTGCTGAGTGAAGCAAAGGAGGAGGCTCGCAAGGTGTTCGACGGTGAACGAATGAAGTTGCAACAGGAGATCTTGGAGCTGAAATCTGGCAAAAAGCAGCTTGAAGAAGCTTTGAACAACATTATGCAGGCAGATAAAATGAAGGCTGCTGACCTGCGCACGGCTTATCAGTCCCATCAGGATGAGATTAATAGAATAAAGCGGGAATGTGAGAGAGAGATCCGCAGGCTGGTAAGTTCATTAAGTAATGAGTGCTAATTTCAGTTTATAGCAGGTATTAGTATATTGCTGTATGTGCCCATAAATATCAAAGCACTCTTTTGCAGTGACATTTTTCATCAGTGCTGGTTGCTACAGTAGGCCACTATTTCCACTACTTTCTCCTCCTTACAGCAAAGATGAACCTTGGCTTCATGGCTAGCCCAACCCAATCCAAAGCTTTATGTCCCATCAAATGGAATATGAGTGAACCAAGACTTTCCAGGATGAATTTTCTCAACAGATCAAAGAAAGAGACTTTCCCTTTCCCACTTGCTCAACTATATTTCCTTACAAAGTCCCATTGACCAAAACAGTCACGCACTGCTCATTTGGCAATGCAGGAACACCTTCGTGAGATGGCAAAATTAACTTTTCAGAGAGCTTTTATATTTATATTGGAGGAACCAATTGTGCTGAAACAAGACAATGTCTTTCCTCTGCGTCATTATCCAGGTCATTTGATTTTAAGCATTGCTGCCCTTTTATAGTTTTTCAAATTTCTGTGTTTTTTCTATTGCAGCAGCAAAGTTAGGGCCTAGGACAGCAGGCTCTTTTCACACTTCATAAGCCCTAGGACTTCAGCACAGATGGCAAACTATGCTGTTTGTATAAAGTCGAAAACCAGGCAATATTTCCCGACAGTGGGTGCCCCAAATATTTCAAATTCTTCAGCTTTGTAAAATGTAAAGAATCTAAGATGGGCTGTACATAGTAGCACATTCAGAGAGTTCATCATCAAATGATACTTCTGTTTGGTACTGTGATATTTTCCATGTATATGTATATATCTGATTGTTAATCTGCCTAAACTAGCTGTACAATAGCTATGCAAATAAAATCTAAAATTAGAATAAGCATAACATTTATCATATATCAAGAAGTACAGACTTTAAATAGAATGAAACATCAGTTTTCTTAAGAAAAATACTTTATCAGTTTGTGTTTACACAGGTATGTCCTCTTATTTCTTGTGTTCCTTAGGAAAAATGATGGTGAGGGCAAGCTACAAATGTGTAATGCTTGTGTAATGGTGGTGATTTTCTGTCTGAGACAATGAAAACTTCTAATGCAGTTAATATTCATGCTTTAAATAAATTGGATGTTGATCAAGTCTCAGGGGTATCATTTCCTTGATTAAAGACCACTGCAAAGATTGACGTGAGGTTTCTGTAAGCATAGTTTCTTTCATATTTTGTTCCATATTATAAATGTAGAATTTTAAAAGCATGACTATAAAGTACAGGCAATTCTACAAAGTATTAAAGAGGAGAGAAGGTTGCTATGTTGTGGCATGTGTTTTTCTAGAGAACAGTTTCTAAATAAATTTAACCTTCTCAAGGAAGGTTACCTCACCAAGAAATGGTGAGGTGAGGCACATAGTGCTGCACCCCAAATTCTGTCATCCCAGATTGCCCCAGTAAACACACCTACACCGTGCCTTTGAGTGGTATTGTAAAGGAAACACTTAACGCTTCTCTTCCAAGAGTAGAAGCTTTCAGCCTGCTGCGGTGTGAGGGCAATGAAGGGCGGGCGGCACTCAGGGTTTTCTGTCTGGCACAAAAAAATCCTTTCAAGTCATTCAGAATTTTAATTGGTGCCTTACTGGGCCTCTGTTACTTAGTACATCTAAAAAGGTGACTGTACTGGGAGAGTGTGTAAATACCTTGTTTCCCGTTCCCAGCCCCAAAGGAAGCCTGCCATCAGGCTCAGGGGCTTCCACTGGAAGGGTTCATATCTTGCCCCCCAGCCCCCTGAAGAAGTACAGGGGAAAACTATCAGGAGCCTGGTGTTGCCTTCTAGTGCCTCGACTCCTTTCGGATAATGAATTTCAATTTTGTCATTAAATTGTATTGTTTGGTTTTATGAAAGAGAAGTGTTTCTTCTAGGAATTCGTAGCAATTTAGGCAGTTGTTGTTGCATAGGGCACTCTTTAAATCTGGGGCGAGGTAAAAAATACTGCAGGGTTCCTAGGTACTACTCTCTTCCTCTGGGAAAGCAAGCAGGATTATAGAATCAGATCATCCAGTTGTTTCCCTCTCCCCTCCTCCTTCCACTTTAATTAGTGCAGGGGATCCTTGCCTTCAGTTTCAGTAATCTGAATCAGCTGCGGATTTGGGGTACTCGGTGGTTTAGTTCTTACCCTTGTGGGATGAAATGGCAAGGATATGGCAGGCAGTGTTATTAATATTAGCACAGTTCTGTAACTGAGCTAAAATTAATGTGCTTTTTTGTGTGTGTGTTGTGTGTTATGGCACTATTAAGAAATCAGCATCTTTGGTATTAACGACCTAAATGGGCTGGCCATACTGTAATTCAAATTCAGAGAGAGTAATTCAGTGTCTGATTGTCTTGTCAGACTTGGTTGATTTATTTTGCATTTTAGATCAAAGGTTATTTTTGCAGATGTATTTCATATAGATATTGCAGCTAAAAAACCAAAAAACCAGTATTTTTACCTTTGGTGTTAATACCTGCAACTGAGTAAAATTTTACATTTTTTTGGCTTGCCATCAAAAAAAAAGTAGTGAGACAGGAAAAAAGCAAAATCCATTGTCTATGAATATACGGATACTGTTACATTGTGTGCATAAACAGCCATGCTTGTATTGTACAAATGTCAGTATTTTAGAAATATGATTAATCAATTTTGAGATTGTCTTCACAGTTTTGAATTGAGCCACGAAAAATACCCAATAAGCCTCAATACAAACAAGACTGAATGGGGAGGATCCTAGTGCCCAATACAGGAAAGTAAAATAGCTATTTAGCAAAAAATATGACACGCTTTTTCTCTGTGCAGTATGCAATTATATTGGAATTTGTCAGTTCCTGTAATTCACTTAATATAACAGGGATAGAAATGTTTTCATTAACTTAAGGAATGCTTGTGGACATGGATTTTTTTTTTTTTAATTTTTTTTCCCCCAAAAAGAAAATATATTCTTGCTCTATATATGCATTGGCACAATGTGCTGGCACAAAAGAAACTGGAAGTAAAAATAGCTAGTAACAAGCTGGAGAGACAAGTAAAACAGGTGTTTTAAAAGTAAAGAGACAACTTGGAGAATGAGATAAGAAAGCAAGAACGGCTATTAATTTTTTCAGCCAGTATTTTCTAGGGTAGTTGAGTCTGGACAGATGGACTGTTCTGTCAATGTAGTATGAAAACTATGCTGATACAGATTCAGATACCTAGAAATAACATTAAAACCCAGCAAATAGGAAAAAAGAAAAATAATCAGAAATAGCAAACTGAAAAATGATCTGCATGAAGGAAAAATGTTAAAGCCTGTTTTTATGGATCAGATTTTTTTTTAAAAAAAAAGAATATACAAAATTATAATTCTACATTTTCATTCATGGAGCTTCAGTATAAACAGCGCCGAAGCATACATTCAGCTGAGGGCTGTGCAGGCAAGCAAGTACATACCTAAATAACTGTGTCAACAGACTTCTGTTTTAATGGCATCCTTGTAAGCAGTATTTCTGGTCTCCTTCTGAGGTCTGGGCTGGTACAAGGCAAGTTTAATACAAACCTGATTAATGGTGAAGGTAGGTTGAGTTTCTTAAGTTGTGTTGATGAAGTAGCTTAAAGAGCCGAACTACAGTTTGGCTGTAAATACGAGAGCATTTAATTTTTAATCTAAATAAAAAAAAAAGTACACAAAATAGCAATGTATTTCAGCCAATTTTTCTTGCGCCTCAGTTAAGCTTGTGATTTAACTCACTTTTAGGTTTTAACATCAGATTTAAAGTTAGTTTTCAGTGGTAAGTAAAGTTTCTTTCTCTCTCGCCTGAAATTGCTGAAATAGCATGTTCAAATTGTTGGTGAGTTTTGGCAACAGACCAACCTTATTCTGTTATCGGCACAGCTGTGAAGAAGGGCATGAATATTAAGTATATCATATTAGTTAGAGGTTACATGCATTCTGGGACTACCTGAACACTGTTTTTAAAAAGGCCCTTACTTTGCAAGGCACGTTTCTCTAGATACTATTTTTGCAGAGAATAGAACAATGGACACTTTACCGTACTTGCCTTGGAAAATATATGCAAAAACCCAATCATTAAAAGTATATTGAATTTTTTCATCACTGATTTACTTGTTTATAGCATTTCTTGAGTAAGAAGGAAGCGGAATGTTTATTTTGTCAGACACTGTTAATATAAACATAATATGTAAACTTTGGAATAAACAGATGACACTTGTTTCCTGCAGTTTGAGGTGTAGGGTTTTAGTAAATATTATTCCCCCTACTGGAAATGTCTTTAACATCAAACCTTTCACCTATTTTACAAATAAATACCATTCGACCCTGTTGAAATCTTTGCACATGTGGTCTTCCTAAATATTCCTTAACAGCTTGGATTGAAATGAATTGAAAGTTTTATTTCATTTTAATGTAAAATAGTCCCAGTTTTCTTAACCACAAAATCAATGTAGAAGATTGCACTGATCTTATTAGGTGCACAATCAGATCCATGTTTAAGAGGGAGCACAGTACACCAGGTGAATTAAATTTTCTTGTTTCAATTGTATTCTCAAATAACCTAATAAAAATTGTCTAAAGAATAATGTGACATTACTACAGGTTCATATTTGCAAGGAAAAAAACCCTTTTGCTGTTAATAGAATCAAAATAAAAGAAATTGTTTTCAGGAGTGATTTTCAGAAGTTCATGATCAGCCATGATCTATGAAGATAGATGCACTATTTAAGTGTCCTTAGTCTCCTTAGGCCAAATTACCTACTTGCATAAATCAAAAACTCCTTCCAATGTGGAACCCTCCTTCTGTTTGGTGTTTGCCAGATATATGTGATGTAGTACCTGGAAGAATATAGTTCATGCTAATAGATTAAGCAGTTTTTAAAGGTAAAAATCAAGGCAATTTCACTGAAACTTCTGTTCAAGGGAAAAACCCTCTTATGGAGTAAATTTATGTACCATTTATGTAGTGATTTTTTAAAA